AAAAAAAACTAGGCACTCTCCCTTGTTCAACAAAGTTTGAAAACCATTTGTCAGTTCTGGTGCATTTCTGAGTTCATTCAAGATTTATACCAAAACAAAGTCATGTGCATGTTCCATAATGAATTTGTTTCATGCGATGTAAATACCTAGATTCCCAGTGCCTTATCTGCCGGCAGAGCCAGGAATCAATTGTATATAAAAATGTATCATTGGACCTAATGTAAAGTTTTTATACATGTTGAATTTCCTTTTCAGGTCAATCGTTTGTTGAATGATGCCCGTGATAAAACTGGAAGTTCAGCTCAGAAAAGTTTATCAGAATTCAATAATTTCAAAGCTATGGTGGTCGCTGGATCTAAAGGTTCCAAAATTAACATTTCACAAGTAAGAGCTCTTGTTCTAATATTCAGTATTTTTACTTTAAGGCAGGTATGTGTAAAGCAGTTTTCGGTGGTTGCACTTCCGTAATTGTTACAGAAATGTTTTAAATACATGTAATTAAGTTACACTGTTTATTTTTCCAAGGTTATTGCTTGTGTGGGTCAACAGAACGTTGAAGGTAAACGTATCCCATTTGGTTTCCGCCATCGAACACTGCCACATTTCATTAAAGATGATTATGGTCCAGAAAGTAGAGGGTTTGTAGAGAACTCTTATCTTGCTGGTTTGACACCTACAGAATTTTATTTCCATGCTATGGGAGGACGTGAAGGTCTTATTGATACTGCTGTCAAAACTGCCGAAACTGGTAAGAAACATAGCAGTATCAGTGCATTCTATGTTTGTAATAAATGATAGCCAGTGTTTCCCCAGGAAAATGGCATACCTATTGTCTAATTTCCACATTAATAAAATATGCTAATCATCTACATTGTATCTATTGTTATAGTTGTTTATCTTAAATTTAAATTTGGGGAGAACCCTTATAGCATTATGTGTGGTGCGATGAAACTGTATGTTAATACCGTACTCGACCGCGTTAGCGCCCAGGGGCCTCAACTCAGAAATCACGATTTTTTAGGGTGGGCGCTCACCCGAGCACCCCCCTCGA